CCATTTCATACAAGTGGCTGTCCAGTCTCTTCTTAAAAGCCTTCAGTGATGAGGCTTTTAAGAACTGATGGCAAACCCTTCCATTGGTTAATTGTTCTTACTGTTAGAAATTTCTCCTTGGTTCTAGGTTGCTTCTCTCCTTGATTTAGTTTCCATTCATTGTTTCTTGTCCTGCCTTCTGGTGCTTTGTAAAATAGGTTGATCCCCTCTTCTTTGTGGCAACCCCTCAAATATTGGAACACTGCTATCATGTCACCCCAGTCCTTCTTTTCTCTAGACTAGTCATACGTAATTCCTGCAACTGTTCTTTATATGTTTTGGTTTGCAAGCCTTTGATCATCTTAGTTGCTCTTCTCTGCACTCTTTCCAAAGTCTAAACATCTTGCTTATAATGTGGTGACCAAAACTGGATGCAGTATTCTAGATGTGGTCTTACTAAGGTTTTATAAAGAGTTACTAATACTTCACGTGATCTTGGCTCTATCCCTTTGTTTATGCAATCAAGGATTGCGTTAGCTTTTTTGGCTGCTGCGACACACTGTTGGCTCATATTTAAGTGATAGTCCAGTAGGACTCCAAGATCCCTCTCACAGTTACTGCTTTTGAGTCAGATTGCACCTAATGTGTACTTGTACATGTGGTTTTTCCTGCTTAAGTGTAAAATCTATAACTTATTTCATATTTCTTTCTTTTAAAAAAAAAACCCTACCAAACATTTGTTAAAAATGGATAGTAGAAGTAAATCAAGGCAGACTAAGAATGGAAGATAAAATCATCTGCTATAAAATAACACAGAACAAATTCATGATAATTTGGTTCAAATCAGCTTTGAAAGCAATGGAACCTCTCCTGGTTCATCCAAGACATGACTGGGCATTTCCCACCATGGCAGACTTTGGCTTTCTCCTGTTGTCATGAACAGATTCTGAGCAAATTGGAATTTTGCTCATACTTGTGTAAGGCAATTTAAAAGTTTCAAAATACATTGAATCACATTTTATGTAAGCGATGCCTAATCATAAATGTCAGTTAGGATTTTTTTTTCTTAAATATTTCTGTGTTTAGCTAAAAGCTCTCTTTGCAAGTCGATTCCACAGTGAACGCAATCAGCAGAAACAATGCTTCCATGCCATATGCTCAAACATAACCCATATAGTGTGACTGGAAATTTGGAAAGGCCAACCCAAACAATGTTCTACATGCTGTTCAGGGAATTATTTCTCACAACTGTGCCCTACCTGGCTGTTGTGTTCGGTGTTATATAACTGAATAAGTAATCCTTAAAGCAAGGTCAGTTCCACTGGCAGTCTGGATAAACATTCATCTCAAATTAGGGAACAAGAGAATTCTTTCTTAAGGCAGCTCCTATGCCAGAAAGAAAAAAAATAATTAGTTTGCATATAACTAGGTGAACATTCAATTTTCTTTGTAAATTAAAATTCCCCAGGGATCTGCTTTAATGTCTGTTTGGGATAATTGAAGCAGCTATATTTCATATCCTATGTCACTGTCTATGCCACGGGTGTCAAACTCGATCGCGTCACGTGATCATGATGTGGGGTGGGTGTGGCCTGCGTGTGACGCATCCGGCCTATAGACTGCCAATTTGACACCCTGGTCTATGCTCTGGCCATAGTCCTGTTATTACAGAGGCTGTAAATCCTTAAGCATAGAGGAGAAGTGAGGACACATGGCTACTATCTCCCAGCATTGACAGGAAGGTCTGACAAGAAAGAGAATCTGAATTTGGCCAAACACATATGCTCCTCCCTATAATTCTGTACAATTGGTATTCCTGACTATGTTGTTAACTGAACGCTCTTATACATTTCTACACTGACACGGTGATATCTGGAAGGGTCTCCTCTCCTCTCCAAACTTTGAATGTTATAATTACACAAATACATATATTTTTCCCTGCACAGCCTATGATGCTTAACACAATGGTACATCCGAATACTGTACGGTTGGAATCATTAGCATTATTATTGATAATATGTTTCTGAAATGTTGCAAAGAACATATGTCAGCCTTCCTTCTTTTAACAGAATAACAGAGTTGAAAGGAACCTTGGAGGTCTTCTAGTCCAACCCCTGCTCATGCAAGAGGCCCTATACTATTCTGGACAAATAGCTGTCCAATCTCTTTTTAAAAACTTCTAGCAATAGAGCACTTTCAGCTTCAAGCCATTTTACTGATTAATTGTTCACACTGACAGGAAATTTCTCCTTCGTTCTAGGTTAGATCTCTCCTTGATACGTTTATAAGGCAATTATAAGGAGAATTCCGGGGTTGCGATCTCTGCCACATCTTGATATTATCACCTGCACTTTCCTAGCAAAAGACTGAGGAGTCCTTGGTTCTCTCTGTGCTTGCTTGTTTTCCTGCAGATGTTTCATTACCCAAACTAATAACATCATCAAAGATTGGTCTAAATATTCTAGATTAGAGCCTTAGTTTAGATTATTTGTTCTAGTATTATTTGAATAATGTATAAATACTTTTAATGACAAAACATGGGTCCTTGTTCAAATTAATAGGCAATGTTTAAGATATCAATCAGAAAAGAGCTGGAAGGGACCTTAGAGATCTTCCAGTCAAACCCTTTGCTCAAGTAGGAGACCCTATACCATTTCAGATAGGTGGATATCCAATCTTTTCTTTAAAACCTCTAGTGATGAAGCACCTACAACTTCTGAAGGCAAGCTGTTCCACTGGTTAATTGTCTTCACTGTTAGGAAGTTTCTCCTTAATTCCAGGTTGCTTCTCTCCTTGATTACTTTCCATCCATTGTTTTCGTCTTGCCTTCTGGTGCTTTGGAAAATAAGTTGACTCCTCTTCCTTGTGATAGCCCCTCAAATATTGAGATATTCCTATCATGTCACCTCTAGTCCTTCTTTTCTCTAGACTAACCATACCCAATTCCTGCAATCGTTCTTCATATGTTTTTGTCTCTAGGTCCTTAATCATCTTAGTTGTTCTTCTTTGCACTTTTTGCAAAGTTTCAACATCTTTTTTGTAATGTGGTGACAAAACTGGATGCAGGATTCCAGATGTGGTCTTACTAAGGTTTTATAAAGCGTTACTAATACTTCACATGATCTTGACTCTATCCCTTTGTTTATGAAATCAAGGATTGTATTAGCTTTTTGGTTGCTGCTGCACACTGTTGGCTCATATTTAAGTGATAGTCCATTAGGACTCCAAAGTCTCTCTCACAGTGACTGTTTTAAGCCAGGTTTCGCCTTATCTGTACTTATACCTTTGGTTTTTCCTATCTAGATGTAAAATCTTGCTTTTCTCCACATTAAATTTCATGCTGTTGGATAGGGCCCATTGTTTAAGTCTGTCAAGATCTTGTGGGATCCTGAGCTTGTCTTCTGGGGTGTTGGCTATTCCTGCCAGCTTAGTGTTATCTGCAAATTTGATAAGTTCCCCTTCTATTCCCTCAACTAAGTTATTAACAAACTTATCTAAGATTATCTTAGAACTGCCTTGGAGCATGGCATGGACTAGGCCTAACTTGGCCTTTATTCCTAATCAGGGTCTACCAATACTGCAATAGTGTCAAACAGACCTTTTCAAAAGCTATAGCTAGTAGTAAGCTTTGAATTATATAACTCTTCACCCTCCAGAAATGCATGCAGGTCTATGAAAGCCAACTGCAATTCTAAATAAATCTATTTTCATTGAATCATCTATATACTTCCTCTCATGTTACCCTTGTCATCTTAATTACCCACAAAGTATTTTGTTAGTAACTTATGTTTAAAATATATGGTCACATTCACACCAGGAACAAGAAAAAGAAACAAATCCAGGATTTAGGGTACAACACGTATATATATATATATATATATATATATATATATATATATATATATATATATATATATAAGGAATAACCACTGCACAGAACTCAATGCCTTAACCATTTAGTATGAACTTTGACCTTCCAGTGATTACTCTTTAGTACTTAAGTCTTCATAAATTTCCATCCTTTATGGAGTGTTTTTGATGGTAGACAATTCTTTGCTGAAAGTTAAGTGCTCTTTTATATGATCATATAAAGCAGGCTTTGGGTACATTACACTGACAAATGTTTATTGGAAAGCCAATTACAGCTTCATAAATCAAGGCCCTCTGTCACAGATCGGGTAAACTCACAAATACCACCAGATGTCACAATTGAGCCCAGCAGGGTAATTCAAATAATACTACGGAATCCTGTCCCTCATCCATAGCATTGACAGTAGTCAAAACAGGAAGAAATAGTTTATTATCTTTCATTTAACTTATTAAAATACTTGTTGCAGGATGTCATGGCCAACCTGGAGCTGGGGCGGGAATGCATTTGTTTTCAATTTGCAGATAGATTAAAATGACAAGGTCAAGCACAATCCACTGACAGATTGGCAGCTAAATTTTAAGGTGGACATAGTTAAGGTGCACATACAGCTGAATAAAAACTCCAAAATCTTTTACCATTTTAATTTTGCAAAGGGCAACTTATATTTGAAATACTTCTGTTAATGATATGCATGCTCATGCTACTATTTAAGTAGATTGATATTAATTAAAAATGATCAGTAAATATTAAAATGTCTTTTTTTCAATACCTATGCAGTACAACCTTGGATTTATTGTTTGTTTGCAAGAAATGCTTGTAAATTTAGAGCTCTGTGCTGTATTTATCTATTCCTTGTTCTAATAAATGAGCCCTCATGTGGTGAAATCAAGAAATTACATGGCGGAAATGGAAATTAAATTGGCTGGACTAAACCACAGATAGATTTTTAAAATAATGATTCTCAGGAATCTTCCATCCTGATGAGCATAAGAGAAAACCTTGTTCCTTTCACCAAATTCATTTTCTGATAATCATAAAACAGGCAATGGGGGGGGAGAGAGAAAATTCCTGCATCATTACTGAATAATAGTTTGTTAAATAAATAATAGTGGGCTTGGTTCACCCACAATAATTTGTAAATCATACAATATTTTTATTATATATTTTATTTTATTCAAAACAAGGTCAAGATACAAAACTCTAAAAAAATCCAAGACAAAAAAACCCCACAAAGCACAGAACAATCAAGACTTTTAAAAAGGTGCATCATATAAAACCCCATATATTCACATATTATTCCCTCTAATTGAATTCTGATTAATACAATATTACAACATTAGTTCACTATTAGTTCCCATCTCTTGTGAAACATTTATATTTTGTAAATCATATAATATAGTAGGTTTTTGACACATGGTAGGCAAAATTAAACAAATGCTATTATGGCTTTAACATTGAATAACATGCAAAACAACTTCTTGAGTTCCCAGAGGAAGTCATAGATCAATATTTTTTCATTCAGGACCCCTTCCCACTTTTAAAAATTATGGAAGACCCAAAAGGGCTTTTGTCTGTATGGGTTATATTTATCTATATTTACTGTATTAAAATTAAAATTGATGCATAAGCTAACACTACCATTTGTTACATTTGTTGACATGATTTTAAAATTGTATTATTTTTCAACATAAGCAGGCAAATAATGATTTTGTGGTCTCTGAAAGGATCTTGGGGACATTCAAGAGTCCTACGTCCCTACTTTAGATCTCGACTTAGTCCTCGAGTTACTAACACAATTAGTCCCAAATTTCTGTTGCTAAGTGAGACAGTTGTTAAATGAATTTTGCCCCATTTTATGACCTTTCTTTTCACAGTTGTTAAGTGAATCACTGCAGCTGATAACTTAGTAACACAATTGTTAAATGAATCTGGCTTCCCCATTGACTTTGCTTGTCAGAAGGTTGCAAAAGGTAATCACATGACCCTGTGATCCTAAACAACCATATTTATGCAACCATCATAAATATGACTTTGTTGCCAAGCTTCTAAATTTTGATCATGTGACCATGGGGATGCGGCAATCATTGTAAGTGTTAAAAACGGTCATGTCACTTTTTTCAGTGCTGTTTTAACTTTGAATGGTCACTAAATGAACTGTTGTAAGTCAAGAACTACCTGTACTCATTCTTTCAATCTTCACATTAAAAGGCAAAGATTACTAGTGACAGTATTGAGAGGACCATGTATCATCTTCCCATTATTTATTAATTAGATTTATATTTTGCTTGGCCCAAGATAGCATGCACAATACCCCCTTCTTTTATTTTCTCCACAACAAGTCTGTGAGGAGGGTTGTCAGCTGAGAGTGAGAAAAAAGATCCGATGAAAATAAATTAATGAAAAACATACTGATCCTACCTGAATGTCAAGGAGCAAAATAGGTTTGAATGTCTGGAAAAATCAGACTTTTAAACACTGTTCCAAAGTTTCCAAAACTACATATTGCCATCTAACAATCATACAGATTTTTTCAGACCAAATCTAGCATCCTTTATTGTATCAGAAATTTACTAAATCTGCAGGGTTCTTTTCTTTCTACTCCTGGTCCATCAACTTCGTCTTGTGTGCAATAGGTACTAGGATGAAAAAGGGTATAATATATAATAAGAAAAATAATACCTAATATTAGGAAGATTACAGTTGCAACAATCCATGTTGACAAATATATTTTTTCATCAAGTAATGATTTCCAGTACCCACATATGCACAGTATAATTACACTTACAATTATTCGAAAAACATAATAAACAATTTGGACAATTTTTGTGTCTTCTCCCTTGATATTAAAAAAGGTAAAAATGAGAATAATTGCCACAATCATTCTGTAAACATATTCTGTTGCTTTAAATTTACAAAATTCAGTGTTTTGCTTTGTCACCCAGCTTAGATTCCCAAACCAAAGAAAAATTAGCAGAACAATAGAACCTGTAATGTTCAACATTGTGAGTAAAATAATGGTAAGTATCCAAGAAGTTAATGTCATCAGTTTATAGACAAGATATATAAGTTTGCAAAATACCCCACTAAATTCATTTTTATCAGGCAGAGATTTTCGCAAAACTATCTGATAGTTCACTGTTGCACAGGAAATGCTGCAGAAAGACAAAGCGATGGAAACATCTTTAAAAGAAAGCAAAAAATATCGAGGGTTAGTTCAGGCCAAAAAAGTTGCCAATTTTTTTTAAAACACTTTTTAAAAAAAAAAAAAAGGTGGATAACACAGGACCACGAACTACTTTGTCTACTCTAAAAGCTCTACTAATCAACTTACACTAATGAAATGGCTTCTGAAGGGATCTTCAGCCATAGTTCATGTTGCCTTGATCTGAGGACTGACATTTATGATTATTAAAATTCATTGGCAACCTTCTGAGGTGACAATATTCCCAAAGTGGTTTATAACCAATATAAAACTAAAAACAAAATCAAAATAAACAGCTAATTTTGAAAAACAGTCTTTAGGTGCCTGTGTGTACCTGAAGTAAAGCAGAAGAAAACTAAGAATTAGCTACCAGCCCAATAATCTCCTTCCTCAAAGGCACCCTCATTGGTAAAAGTGTTTATCCCAGATAAAGTCTTTTTAAAATTGACCAAGGCTTTATATTTTAATACTTAATTACACAAATATTAAAATATATTAATTACTTTTCAAGGTAATTTATTACATTTTGCAAATCATAATGTTGATCTTTATTGTAATATTGCAGACAACTATTTTTAAATAAGTGCATTGCTTTGCATTTTGATACAGATTAAACTTACATTGATAAAAAGAAGAATCATCAGATGCCATCACAATGTGGATCTGAAGGATAAGCTGGGGTGTGCTTTCCAAGAAGGCTTTAAATACCTGAAGCATACTTATATCAGCCATTGCACTGATGCATAAGTTGTTGTTGGTGGAACTGTTTGATATAAATGCAGCCTCATATCCAAATTTTAATGTGAAACAGTATCTATAGTGAGAGAAAAAAAACCTCTCTTTAAAGTAAAAAGCTAAATATATAGAGAATTAGACATAGATCAACTTCCAGGGTTTTGTTTTGTTTTGTTTTGTTTTGTTTTACTAAAAAGCAGCCATGGAAGTGAGACTTTTAAGAAGGCCACTACTAGGAGAAAAAGCTCCTAAATCTTTTCCTTCCAGTTGTTTTTCTATTCAGTCTTTCACAGCTTGAAGTTTTTATATCCGTTAGGGAAGAAAATATCCACCCACAATCTCTCCTTTCCTTGAAATACAAAACTGCCCATACTTGCTTTTCTGTCTTTCTGTCCATGTATCTTTCTATTTCTCTTCTCTTTAACCATTAGAACATGCATTCTTTCAGCTACTAGAAATCTTTTAATTTTTGTGTTTTGTTATCTATTTACTGTAAGCCACACAGTTATTTTATATAACAGTATAGACTGCCATACACATCTTTCAAATGAAATAAATAAAATTTTAACACAGATGTTTCTATTATTACAGCAATCCCAAGAATGGCCAGATGGCCATTTCACCACTCTTCCTCCCTGCCCCATCCCAAACATTTTTTTAAAAGGAAGATGAATTAGCTGATATTTGCTTGATGCTGAAAGTTGAATTACAAATACTGCCTTTATTGCTATAAATCACCAATAGATGGCAGTACTGAGGTGCTAGAAAAGACATGTGAAACACAAGGCCCGGGGGCTGGATGCGGCCCGCGAAGTGGTTTCATGTCCCCGCGAAGCCACCCTGGAAACAATGAGGGAACGGCCCCCGCTGCCTTGGCCCTGGCCCAGGCCGGCGAGGAGCCAATGTACAATTTTGTGGTGGCCATCTATGCTGAAGCGCATTCAGTCTTAGCTCCACAAGGCCGTCTGGAAACAGTGAGGAACCAGCCCCTGCCGCGTCGGCCCCACCCCCTGGGTGCATGCTGGGAAGATATCATCCTTTACGAGGAATGAGGAAATGCACCATCGCCTGGAAGTGGCCAGCAAATGGCCCTCACCTACTTCACTTATCCAGCTTGATGGGCTCTGGGAGAGGGGTTTTAGCAGCAGTGGGACACTCTCCTCACAGCGCCAAGAGGCTGAGCTGGGCAGCGCAAATCCAAAAAGAAACGCAAGTCCACCCAGCTCCCAGCCTGCCCGGTTTCAGCAGGCAGCGGGGCGCTCTCCTCACAGCGCCAAGAGCTGAGCTGGGTGGCGCAAATCTGATGAGAAGTGCAATGCTGCCTAGCCCCCAGCCTGCCCAGTTTCAGCAGGCAGCAAGGTGCAAAGTTGGCGACCTTCGCACCAGCCAGCTCAACCTCTCGGTGCTGTGAGGAGAGCGCCCCGCTGCCTGCCGAAATCATGCTCACCCAGGAGGCCACACCACTCCATCCACGCCCACCCAGTAGGCCACATCCACCCAGGCCACACCCACCCGCCCCGAGGACAACCGCAATGCTGATGCGGCCCTCAGTGAAATTGAGTTTGACACCCTTGTGCTAGAACAGTGGTTCTCAACCTTTTTAATGCCACAACCCCCAACTGGTGGTAAGTCAAGGACTACTCAACCGGTCGTAAGTTGAGGACTACTCAACTGGTGCAGCACCGTTTGCAGAATGGGACTTTTGGCGGGCTCAGCAGGGCAGAGACAGCCTGGACAATTCCTATTGGCTTTTGAAAGCCAATAGAATTAGACTCTATTCAAGAGAGTCTATTCTATTGGCTTTCAAAAGCCAATAGAATAAAAGGGAGTAGCACAGCTAAGGAAAAGGGGAAAAATGGCAGACTGCGTTGTTTGGTGACCCCCGTGAAATGGTCGTTCGACCCCAAATGGGGTCCCGACCCACAGGTTGAGAACCACTGTGCTAGAAGATCAGACATGTTTTTAGGAACTTTTCTTCTACCTCATAAAGTAGGAACTTGTTATTTTTTTAAAAAAAAACTCCTGTGTTGCTGTGGTTTGTGAAATGATAACCTGCAGGAAGTATTTAACAGTCTGCTTTAAACAATGCTCTGTGATTGTATTTTTGACTTCTGAAGGAGTCCTTCCAATTGGGCCCGGCCATCCATCCACATATATACTTTCACACATCTTGCATCACAAAGCTTGAGATTCAATTTTTTGTTTTTACAGTCCAGTTGCTAAAGGCATATTGTCCCTTTTTTCCCCGTTGGGATATAAACAGGAATAATATAATTCCTCTTGCATACAGAAGGGCCTTCATTTATTGTGATATACTGTATATACACCAGTTCTGGTTATTGCATCTCTAAGTTAAATGAAAATTGTGTTCCATTTCTATTTGCAATGTACACTAGAAAGGTTGGGTGTTCTAAAAAAACAAATATATGCAACCACACTGTGAAACACATGGCTATTGATTGCAGAGTATTATGACTTTAATAGTCTGCTAATGACTTTAATAGTCTGTTATTAGGTGGAATGCCTCCTTTTCTCATTTGTGTTGGATGTTTGTCTGATTGCCAATAGAGAAACCATAGATCTAAGTCTGATCCCTACATCAGACTCTGCTGATGTACTAGTAGATCAAGAGCCCCCAATTATAACGCAGGCAGCTGGATTTATTTTGATTAGGCATCCTTCCAAGAAGAAAGCTTTTGCATCATAGGTAGAAACAGCGCGAGAAACCAGCTAATACATAAAGTAGGGATGATAGCACTAAATCAGCATAGGGGCCTTTCTTCCATTCACATACTTAAAAAATATATGATTCCCAGCAATGGCCAGCTTTTCATTGTTTTACTCAGTCCCAAAACAGCTGCACTATTGAGTTAAATGCCTTTCATCATATAGAAAAATAGACAGTAGTATCTCTTTGCAGCTGCCAGAGTGTTGACTGTATGTTTTATGACATTTCAACGAATGGCTTTAATTATCAATGTTCAGAAACACAGATCTTACTCTCTCTGAACATTTCTAGAGTGGAGAGGTAGAACATCATGGTAATAGCAGCTAAATAGAGATAAAGACAGTTTATCTGAAATGCTATATTGCACCAGATGAAAGTGCCATTTTCTTCCACCATAGAAACAATGTTCCTTCAACAGAAAATATTACTAAAAAGCAAGAATACAGCTGTGAAATAACATCCCAGAACTGATTCCTGTGCTTTGAGAATGCCTCCTGTGCAGACAGAAACAATAGGTAAGTCTATCTTCTGTCAAAATAACACTACTTTCATGTTATATGGATATGTATTTATCCTTCAGAATAACCCTACAGGATTTTTTTCTCATAAAACAAACAAAAACATTGACCATCTGGCTCTAGCATCTAACCATTGTGAAATCCAGAAAAAATAAGTCAAATAAATCAGGCTGTTATATCATTCATTCATATGAGCTTGTTGTTTTCCAAGCTGTGTTTTCAGACTGACTACAGAAATGTGGATAAATTTACAGCTTAGAAATTAGTTTGGGACTTAGCCTTACACTGAATCTCATAAGGTAATGTATTTATTGTACCCTGATGCTGGGAAAGATTGAGGGCAATAGAAGAAGGGGATGACAGAGAATGAGTTGGCTAGATGGAGTCACTGAAGCAGTAGGCTTAAATGGACTCCAGAAGATGGTAGAGGACAGGAAGACCTGGAGGAACGTTGTCCATGGGGTCGTGATGGGTCGGACACGACTTCTCAACCAACAACAAAAGGAGATGAGTTACATTTGATTCTACTTCCTGAAAGCTAGATAAATATAAATTGTCTTATAGATACTGTATGAATAGTTATATGGATTTTAATTTTAATTTTAAACCTTTACAATTTTTATCAACTAACAGAATAGGTGAACTCTAACAACAATAATGTAAGAACTGAATGAATAAAAAAACAAAATAAAAGAAATGAAAGAAACATGTGATTTATGGTCTTTCAGATGCTGCTGACATACAGATTTCTGGTACTATACACCTAATAGCCTCTACTTGTATATTAGTGCAACAAACACCTTTGTCTTCCACTGTAACCTGTTTTATTGGCCCTTTGGTGGTTTTCTTCACATAATGCAGTTAATGCATAGAAGACAGCTGCCTTTAAGCAAAGCAACCAGCTGAAAACAGATTGGGTCTGCCTCCACACTTTGTGAAAGCAAGCATGTCATCTTCATTTTGAGCCCAAGGCAGATCATTGCCTTGGATGTCAAACTGAAGTACCAAGTATATTGTGCCTCCTTTACCCAAACCTATTATGAACTCAATGAAGCAATTATTTACAGAAACTGGTTCATACAGGTAGGAATAATAATTTAAAATGTGTGAAAAATTCAACAAGCAGTCACATTATGTGTTAACATCACCACTATCTATAAAAATTCACTTAATGCCCTTATACATATTGTATATCTGTTCTAGGTTAAAATTTAGCACTTACCGTGTAAAAATTCCACCACATAAAGAATGGAATAGATAAAACTTCCAATTAAGCTTTTCAGTCTCATCTTCTTTAAACCAGGTACAACTGAAAAACTGAATAATTATTGATGAAAACAGTCCTGTGGACAGTATTAGGATGCCTTTCAAGTACTGGCCTTCACACAAAAAGTTCTTTGCCGTCCAGAGATCTGTTCCAACATCAGATATATAAACCACAAGCCCAAAAATAATAAGAACACAATCTACTTTAGTAAATCTTTTTTGTTGTTTTTCACAACTGACCACTTCATTGCAGATAAAACAATTCAAAATGTTTTTCTTAGTAGAATGAAACATGTTGGTCAAAACAGCAGGTTAATCTAAAAAGTCGGGATCATAAGTATATTATAAAATCTGTTTGACCACTAAGACGTCATTGAGAAAGTAACAGCATGTAGTTTAAAAGATGCTGGTAAGGTTAATTCTTCCTTATGAGTCCTGCAAAAAATAAGTAATTAGTAACTATTCAGAGGTTTATAAAAAACAATTATCAATTTCAATAACTGTAAAAGGGCAACCTGTGGAATGAAAGCTTATGATAATGTGTAATCCTATGCATGTTTTAACTGAGCTCAAGAAGATATTTCCTCAGGAAAAATACACTAACTGAGTAGATGAAAAAAGAAAAATTGGAGACTTTTTTGAGTCCTGGTGGAAATCTTATTTTCTACTTCCCATAATTCCCTAAGGCATTTAAGTACTTGGTTGTATAAAAAGCCTCTACATTCTCTAAAAAAAATTAAAAGGCATTCCAGATTAAAAGTAAAGCATACATGATGGAACATAAATGCTATTGGAAGACAACATATTTCTCATATATTAGGAAAGGCAATCCTGTCTTTAAGATTCAAGCAAACTGGGCATTTTTCCCAAGTAAGCCATGTTATGTGGAAAGTCCCAGAAATACTTTTTTGCAACATTATGTTCTTACAATATTGCCTACTCTTTCTACTATCTGCCTAACCCTTTCCTTAGAGGATTGGGCTATTGCAATGTTCTAATGCCTGCCTGACATTATTTAACTTGAGTTCTAACACTTGCATAAAAATATATGCTCTAATAAATCTATTTAATTGTTAAGTACTATAAAACCAATTGATTTTACTGCAATTGCCAGGCAGAAGAGAATTGATTTGGTATAAAGCTTAAGGCATCAGGCTGAAAACTGAGAGACTGTGAAACAGGAAGTCAACTTGATAAACTTAGTGCAGTTACTCTCTCCCAGCCTTGGCAAGAAGACAATAACAAATCATTTCTGAAAATCTTGCCAATATAATCCAGACAGTTGCCTGAAGTTAGAACTGGTCTGAAGGCACGCATAAGCAAAATTCATACAGAAAGGAATTGGATAAATCTCTGCTTTCTTGACTTAAACATTCTTTGAAAAGAGATGGTCACTTCTGTCTTTCCAGACCTTAACTGCTAGGTAAATTGACTTTATGGTATTCTAAATCAAACAATTAAAAGCTCCTTGCAAGGATTCTCAGGCTACTATGTTGCTTATTGAGTAATTATAGTTAATATTGAGTAAAATATAAGAAATGTCCAGTTTGAAGGTAAATTATTATACTGTATGCTATTTCTAAACATGCATGTCATTTCAGAAAAGTTGAAAGTGAAATCAATGCTTGGAGAAAAGAATCCAAGAGAAAAAAAATCTTTGTGGATATTTACACTTCCATTGAGAATTATGTAATTCTGTGGTTAACATTGAAAACCAATATAAAGATTCCACAGAGAAAAATAAAAATTCATCAGAGATCAAGCAAATATACATTGTTGGCCTGATAATACAACTACAGACAAATATTCTGGATAACATAAATGTAATTTTCCTTTTGATCAATTAATACTTTTTTTCATCTGACATACCCAGTGAAGTCAGTTTTTTAGGCCTCCTAATAGTATAAATTGTTTTCTATAATGTTACAGAATAAACTGTTTAGATACCACCCAGGTAATTAATTAATCTCAACAATATTTTAATAAAAAGTTTTACCTTAAAACTTGCCAGGTAGATATACATTTTCAGTAGAAAACTCTATATCCTCGATAGAAAGAAACTATTAATGTTTTGCATAGTTGGACTTTGTAGTCTACACCCAGAAGAGGTTTGGGTGTGGGCAAAATATAAAGTGAAACTGCTTTTATCCACAAGCCATGTGATCCTTTAGACAAGATGGGTGACAAACAAATCTAAATAAATAATCATCTGGTATTTGGATACAGTGGCTAAGGCTTCAGCCTAGAAACCGGGAGATTGTAAGTTTTAGTCCCACCTTGGACATAAAGCCAGCTGACTCTGCACCAGTCACACACACTCTCTCTCTCTCATATCTAGCAAGGAAGTAATGGCAAACAACTTCTGAAAACTGCAGGAACTAGTCCAGGCAGTTGCCAAGAGTCAACACCGACTCAAAGGCACCAAAAGAAAAATTGAATAATCATTCCTTTAGTTGAATTATTATGTTCATAAATCATTTAATCTGATTCCATCTGTGATAACTTAGTAACAGAATAACAGAGTTGGAAGGGACAAATGGTTGTCCAATCTCATCTTAAAAATCTCATGTTGGAGCATTCACAACTTCTGGAGGCAGATTGTTCCACTGATTAATTGTTCTCACTGTCAGGAAATTTGTCCTTAGTTCTCCGTTGGTTCTCTCATTGATTAGTTTCATTCATTGCTTCTTGTCCTGCCTTCAAGTGCTTTGGAGAATAGGTTGACTCTCTCTTTTTTGTGGCAGCCCATGAGAGATTGGAAAACTGTTATCATGTCACCCCTAATCCTTCTTTTTATTAATATACCCAATTCCTGCAACTGTTCTTCATATGTTTTATCCTCCAGTCCTCCAGAACTTTTGTTGTTCTTCTCTGAACTCTTTTTGAGTCTCAGCATATTTTTTATATCATGAAAATTGAATTAAGCCTTTTTTACTTTTTTCTGCAAACTAGGTTTCTTTTAATGGCAGTGGTATTCTAGTTGAGCCATTCAAGGTAGGCATTGTAACTGTCCTATAAACTGGCAACACTCAATTCCACAGGCACTACCCACATGTAGTTGGGTTATGAAATTACCTAATACTAAAATTAATCTGATCTGTGACACTGGAAATATGAGGCTAACCATGTATTTAAATCCTCCAAATTGCTGATGGTGCAATAATTTTACCTTGAGTTCTATTTTTGTTTGGATTGTACTTCGATGATGGAACAGCCTTTATTCTTCTCATGGCCCCTAATTCCCTAAAATGTGCCCTCTCTGCTCCATGAAGAAACTCAGCTGTGCTTTAGCTGCAATTTTTAGAACACTAATTAGATCCCCAAGGCTTGCAAGTGTCCAACAAAATCTCCACTTAGAAGCTAAACCAAACATTAGTTCCTCTAACTAACTCTGCAAATGTCTAATGTTCTGACAAGGAAGTGACATGAAGAGAAAAATGGGCAGAAAGTGAGAGCTAATCAATCTTTCTTGTAAAACTCTTTTCTTCATTAAATTATGTGTTTTATTCAGGATCCCATCTGACTCCAAAAAATCTGAAGAGATTTTTTGGACAAAGAGACTTAGGATTCTGCAAATATATAGAGAGAGTATTCTTTCTCTTCTAGCCTACTGCTGGATTAATTGCACCTTTTGGGGTCTATTAATCTCTTGGATAATAAAAATGATAATTTTAAACTGGTAAGATAAAGTTAGGATGGAATTGGAGCTCTGGAATACAGGAAGCAATAAAGATATTAGATGGGATTGCTCCTAAGATTTCTGTCCTTATCTGATAATGAAGGAAGGTTCCTTCATTGGTATAGTGAGGAGTTGCAAATGATAAAACCTTTGGAGTATCACTGGAAGGATATAATCAGACATGGAACTGAACTCAGGTCTAATAAGGACTTTTTGTCCTTCTTCCATTAATGAAATGGCAGGCAGCAGGACTATTCAGAATTATCAGGAAAGTATGGAACAAAGATGATTAGGGGACTGGAGGCTAAAGCATATAAGGAACGGTTGCTGGAATTGGGTATGTCTAGTTTAACAAAGAGAAGGAGGAGGGGGGACATGATAGCAGTTTTCCAATATCTCAGGGGCTGCCACAAAGAAGAGGGAGTCAAGTTATTTTCCAAAGCACCTGAGGGCAGGACAAGAAACAACGGATGGAAATTAATAAATGAGAGAAGCAACCTAGAACTAAGGAGAAACTTCCTGACAGTTAGAATAATTAACCAGTGGAACAACCTGCCTCCAGAAACGGTGAATGCTCCAACACTGGAAATCTTTAAGAAGAGACTGGACAGCCATTTGTCTGAAATGGTATAGGGTTACCTGCCTGAGCAGGGGGTTGGACTTGATAACTTCCAAGGTCCCTTCCAACTTTATTATTATTATCATCATCATCATCATCATCATCATCATCATTATTATTATTATTATACTCTAATTTCTTTATGATCAGCACGCCAGTCATTTCGTGGATAAAATCATACCTATAATTCCAAACTGAAAGCCAGATAATCAAAATCCAATAGATTGGGAGGAGCGGCACCTTAGAATGTTTTGTAGAAGTGTCTATAAGTCTACGCATACCAAGAAAGATCCTTTGTGATGCAGCCTGGCCACCTGGAAGGTTCATCTGTGTCCCACCAGTCTGGCTAAGATACCAGGTAATGGTATCAGGAGGTAATGCTGATCAAGTAGTGATCAGTAATTTCTTGCAGAAGCAGAAGTTAGCAACTACTTGAAAGACATTCTGGCTTCCCTCCTCCTTTGAAGTCAGTCCAGGAATCTTAGTTATATATTGTTATATATTGCACCTCCTCTATGCAAGCATGTGATTGAAAAGGTGATGAGACAACAATTAAATAGGTCTAAGGAAGAAGCAGATTATCTAGAGTAGAGGAGCAGACTATCTAGAATCATCTCTAGACAAAATAGGCACCACATAAATCAATCAATCAAACAAACAAACAAACAGATAAATAAAATTTAATCTTTGATCATCAGGATTTAGACACCCGTTTGGGACAGAAGCTGTATTGTGCTGACCTACAGTGGGGAATGCAAACATTCTCATTTTACTAGACCTTTAGTGACCTTTGATAGCACTGTACTAGCTTCAAGTTTGTTTTCAAATGCAATATGGTGGTTCTTATCATAAATTCCTATATGACTGGGAATCTGCTATCTTCAAGACTGCCTTTTCTGACCAGAACCTGTCTGTCCATACATACAGAATGTTTTCTGAAGGCACCCACCTATAAGACCTTCAGCCAGAGGGAGCAAAGAACTTTTTTGCGGTCCTATCTTTTCTACCCAAAGCAAGAATAGTCCTTTTCCAATACAAAAGATAGCTAAACCTGGTTATTTCAGAAGGTCTTTGAAGACTGCTCACTAGACAGGTACATATTACGATCATGAATTATGGATTAGCTTACTCCTAGCACATATAATTGATATAGTATAAATGTATATTGCTGATGATGATGATGTTATCCCTTCAGTCATCTCTGATTCTTGGCAAATCTATGGGCCATCTTCTGTTCTTGCACTATTTCGTTGAGTTTTTCTATGCTCTGGCTGATGTCAGCTTTATCGTGTCCAGCCACCATGTTCTTTAATGGCCTGGTTTCCTTTTACCGCTAACTCTTCCAAACGTAATTGATTTCTCCAGTGATATGGCCAATGTAACTGAGACATATATTGCTATGTTCATATGTGGAGCACCCACAACTTGTGGAAGCAAGTCATCACTGATTAATTGTTTTAACTAATCAAGAAGACAAATAGATCCCCACCCACCCATGTTAAGGATTTAGTTCTCTTCCTTCCCGGCAAGGTGATTTTTAGTGGAAAGGAAACAACCCAAGAAAAATCCATCAGTCAATTTCCTTAATTTGTCCAGGGGTTAAACATGCAAGAACAACAATCTGACTCTGTCTCTCCACATGTTATCCTCAGTGAAGCATGCAAACCAGCATCTGCATTTCCTGCATCAGATAAGGAGAGCACATCTTTCTCCTTCTGTCCTAGCCACTTTTTACAGAGACACGATTGAAAGCATTTTAACAAACTGCATCACTGTCTGGTTTGGTAGCAGCAGTGCCTCAGATAGAAAGTCCATGCAGAGAATGGTAAGGACAGCTGAGAAGATCACAGAAAACTCGCTCCCTGGTATTGAGGATGCTGCTTATAAACGCTATGTGCTTAGAGCTCAAAGCATTGTTAGAGACCCTACACGTCCACTTTACAGTCTGTTTCTGTTGCTCCCCTCTGGGAGAAGGCTTCCAAATATTTCTAGCAGGACTACCCGATTCTGTAGTAGTTTTGTTCCCTATGCCAGAGGACCCCAACCTTTTGGGCACCAGGGTCTGGTTCCATGGTTTTTCTGCGGACTGGAGGGTGTATGGTTTTGTGTGCTGCTTGCATCCGGTGGATAGGGCTTTGTTTGTTTGTGCAGACCAGTTGCTGGTATGCCGCGGCCTGATACTGATCCACGGACTGATACTGATCCATCCGTCTGGTAAATTCACAAAATTCATTTTTCTCACCATAACCTGAACTAGACTGCTGTTTCTCTGTGCCATATATGTGGATATATGCATAATTCTGTATTTATTTATGTAGTGTATATCGGAGGTGGTGACCCTTTGAGAGCTGAATGCAACAAAATTTAATTTTAATGTATGCAGAATAGAACAGAACAGAATAGAACTGGAAGGGACCTTGGAGGTCTTCTAGTCCAGCCCCCTGCTAAAGCAGGAGAACTTATATCATGTCAGACAAATGACTGTCTAACCTCTTCTTAAAAATCTCCAGTGATGGAGCGCCCACGATTTCTGGATGCAAGCTGTTCCACTGGTTAATTGTCCTCACTGTCAGAAAGTTACTCTTTAATTCCAGGTTGCTTCTCTCTTTGATCAGTTTCCAACCACTGTCTCTTGTCCTACCCGCTGGTGCTTTGGAGAATAATGTGACCCCCTCTTCTTTGTGGCAGCCCCTCAAATACTGGAATACTGCTATCATGTCTCCCCTATTTCTTCTTTTCTTTAGACTAATGTACATTTAAAGTGACAATAAAGTTATTATTCTATTCTAGTCTCCTGTTCCATTCTTCATTCTTGGCCAATAGGGCAAAGCAATTTATTCCTTAGTTCAAGGATGGACTGCACTGTAATACAGCTATCTCACTGTACAGTGAAGAAGTAATAATCCAGTGCTAACTAGAGTATTAAAGTTGGGGTGGTAGATTGCCAGTAGATCTTTGGAAAAAAATACTACAAATCTATTGAACAATTAATGATGTTTCAGTACAAAACTCAAAAAGAACCATATAAATTTAACTACACACAATATTATAAATATACCCAGAAATTTTAATCATCTGCTTTGCAAAGATACAATATTGGGGCTTTTTTGCAATTTAATTTTTCTCACAATTTTTATTATGGCAGTGCTGTTACTGCCATCTACAGACAAAATGTGTTCTCAAGGTCATGTTACATCAATATCTTGGCATAATGTTTGAATTGCTAAGACATTTTTTATTCATTTATGCAATTTACTTAGAAATCACCTTGAACCCAAGAAGCATAAATATTCAGTTTTTTTGTCGTTGAATTTATCCTCAGCATAAACCTGTGAGAGACTCTTGAAAACATCATTGAACTGAATCTCCCAAAATCCTCTACCACTGCTGGTTAAGGACCTTCTGGGAATTGAAGTTGCAAGGGATTAGACATTTTCTCAATCTTTATCCTAAACTACAAAGATTAATAACAGTAGAGAACATCAAACCTTTCAGTTGTTGAAGCCCATAACACTTGCAATCCTTAAAGGTTATGGTGATTTAAATGGGATCTATAGCAACTGATTTCTAAAATATCTGGACAGTACCCAAACACCCACCCAATGGAAATGAGCAAGGCAAAGAGGTTCCTTCCATGAAATTCTCCACAAACCTAATTCCAATTCTGTTCAGGGCTGTCAGATATGGAAATGAAACCACATCCATCTGGGTGAGTAATTTGAATACCATTCAGATGTATCTGAATTCAGTTTAAATCTTTGTCTTCAAGAGGAATGTGTAGCTTTTGTAGCTCAGATCTAATAGTCCCAATTTTATCTAGGAGTTCTGTGTCAAATGCTAGGCTGCCTCATTATGGTGCTCTCTCTCTCCCTCTCTCCCTCTCTCTCTCTGTGTTAATGCTGCAAGAAATGAATGAAAAATACTGGGAGCATATATATACCAAAATAATATGATCTCACAGGGTCACCTAAGGTGTGAAGGTCAGCCCAGCTGCCCAGCTAAAGCAAACTGGCTCCTTTATTGGGCAGCAGCAACATAGGAAGATGCTGGGCTTCGCTTTGTTAACAATACTGAAGGCATCATTTCATATGGCACAGGAGAGAGTAATAGGGCAAACCACTTCTATTTTACTAGGTAAACCATACAGATATAAACTATAAAGTGATTGCTGATATTGTGCCAATAATTATCTCCTCTAGTACATTTGCATAGTATCTTATGGGGAACGTATATTTATTTAGCCAGAAGACTAGCTGACTGCAATTAAAATTTTATTTAACAATAATATTACAGGATAGATAGTATAGGATATTTATAGTTTCTTATAAATACATATTTTAGAAACAAACGTCCCCTATAGGTAAAGAATGATTGCTAAAAACGCTTCCCTTTTCTCTTCTACATAGTGGCTCTGCTTCTCAGGCTTGCCCTTCTCTCCCCCGCTGGTCTGTGAAGCGCCTTTCCTGGATTCCCTATTTCTGTGCAGGTTCTGCCCATTTTGCTCTTAAGGAAGTATCTAGTTAACTCTTCCATTACATTCTACACTTATAGCAATCTTTCGTTTCTTTACCTAGTTCGGCAAAAGAAAACCAACAAAGTCTCCAAAAGTTGTCACTCTACACTTTGCCTTATCTCTACGTTCTTTGCTCTCCCTCTTGCTCTCTCGCTCTCTCTCTGAGCCCGTCTTCTCTGGCTGGATGCGAAGGTGGTTGCGAAGATGTTCTCCGTGCTGCCCAAAGTGGAGAAGCTGTCGGCGCGGGTAATCCGCGTCCTGGGCTGTAACCCCGGGCCTATGACGCTCCAGGGGACCAACACCTACTTGGTGGGAACCGGGCCCAGGTAGGTGGGAAGCAGCTGGTGTACTCCCTGGGATCTGCTGGCCAACGCGTTTCCTTGGCGAGTTTTCCCTTCCCTTTAGCAAAGCCAGGCTCGAAGGCTACCCGGAATTCGTATTTTGACTCCCCTGCTTTTCACGCGCTGCTCTGAGTATTATTAATTCATACTATTTCTCTTTATTGTACAAGTAGTACTGTGACGGAAGAAGGCGGGGCCTAGATGAAATAACAAACATTTTTTTTATATCTTCTCACACACACACAACACACAACCCAAAAAATCCATAAACATTTGAGGGCAGAGGAAACATAGCTAACCGGATTATTATATGTATGCACTTAAAGTCACCTTTAGACCAGGTGGACGGCACACAAATCTAGTAAATAAATAAATGTAAAAGCCATTGATGCAACCTAGCAGTGTTGCAGTGCAGTCTTCTCTATTCAGAAATCCTATTTAAGTCCAGGGTCTTACTCACCTAGCAATGCAGGCTTAGGACTCTTCCATTGCTGTATTAAAGTGCTGTTCTCTGGTCATTAAGCTCACAGAAATTTGCAAACATCTGTTCTGCTTCATTGACAAAACCTCTAAGGCTTAGGTGTGCTGTTTGCAGGACAAGTTAAGAAAAACACTCTACCTTTCCCTTGCCATAGACAAGCTTTTAAGATTTGTGAGCCAGCTTTGTTATAAACATGTTTGTATTATTTTTAATCACTTTTGTTTTGCTATTCCCTTTCTCTTTTCCCCTTTTTGTTAGTTGATGTTTAATATTTTACTTTGAAATTTAATAACTATTATTCTATTTACTGGACAAGTAAGGGCAGATTCTTTTAGTCACCTGTCAAGTTGCTCAACTAAGAAATTGCAGGCACAGAAAAGCTGCACATCTTTGATCAGTCAGTTGGGCTGACTCTTGAAATGGTGCTTTACCATGTCAGCAAATGCCATGGTTCACAGATTGCCGATGTAGAAGAGAGGTCATGTTTAGAAATACCCGAAGTGACACTTCAAGATAGGGAGAAGGGGTTATGAAGTGCATTGGGGGCACTTCACACTCCTCCTATTCCACATTCATTGGAGGAATGGAATAAAACAAGAAGGAATAATTAATAACATGCAAGCTTCATCCTAAATTGCAGGTAGTCTTCGATTTATAACCATTCATTTAATGACCATTTTAAGCACTGAAAAAAAGTGACTTGTGACTGTTTTTCACACTAACAACCATTGTCGCATCACTGGTCATGTGATCAAAATTCAGATGCTTGGCAACTGGTTCATATTTATGACGGTTGCGGTATCCCAGGGTCATGTGATACCTTTTGAAATCTTCTGACAAGCAAAGTCAATGAGGAAGCTAGATTCAACTGTGGCAAGAAAGGTCATAAAATGGGGCAAAACTCACTTAACAACTGTCTCATTTAGCAATAGAAACTTGTGATCATAAGTCAAGGACTACCTGTAATGCTGCAAGCAATGGAAGTGCTGGCAGGAAGTAGTCCTGGGGTATAATATCCAGAAGTAACCTATATAATAGGTGTGGTGCTGTAGAAATAAGTAAAATGGCATCATTCCCCCTAAACATTAAAACCAGTTTTTTTTAAAAAAAAAATGTCCAGTTTTCTTGCTTGCTGAAGCACTATAGAAGCAGTAATGCCTCACAGGCAAAAGTTAGCCACACCCACCTGCCACAACATTCCTGTCACAATTCAGAACAGCGTTCTGTATAGCCAAAAGAGCTCTCTCTAAACCTAAATACTTTCAGAAGTGCACTAATAAATCTGTGCAAATAAGGAGCTTACGTAACACTGACAAATACTTTAGAAAGAGCCAGTCAGCCATTGTATGGGCAAATGTTGGTCATGTGTTGGGAGAAGGGCCATTGCACAGGGACCAAAGAGGAGGGTGTGAATCCACAACAACCCAAAGTGACCCCAGAAGGGCTGATTCTTTCCCTGATCAATCAAAAAATCAATGAAGCATTCTAAATCATATTTATGGTGAAAATTGTGTCCAGGAAGGACATTTTAAAACTGGAATAACTGTAGCTAAATTTAGGCTTCCTTTACTACAGGATGAATGAAATAAAGGCAATCTCAGGCACCAATGCCATTTAAAAGCAGCTAGACATCATGATGCAGTTAGAGAGATTTGATGATGATTACTATCTAGGGCATGTGTCTGGTTCTTCTACAAAGCCCTATCTTGAATCTTGGTTATTACAGTTTAGTTCTCTTCTTATGCAATATAAGTCTCAACTTGGAATCACGTTTAGCTTGTCACTTTTTCTTTTGCTCTTGGCAAAAGATTTTTCCCCTTCTGTGGACAAATTTCTCTTTATTACATTTTATTGGATCATCTTTGATCCATTTTATTATAAAGTACCATTTCTTTTGTTCACCTGATTAGATTTCTGCTCCAGTGGATTTTTTTTCACCATTATCTCTATTCTCATAGGCTTACTAGCTGTGTAGTACAGTATTATGAAATTAAAAGAGATTCTTTTGCAACAGCATCCCGCTTGAGATGTGTATGGCTCCAAGCTTTATTGTGTTTAGAAAGGCAATGGAATCTCGCTCTTCCAGCATACTTTAAAAGCAGTACTTAAATGTTTTTCTTTGGGGTATTTGAACAAGTGTACTTATTTCTCCTCACTGTCAAGTGATTCTGGGTGGCTATTGTAAATTTTGTATATAAAATAACATATGTAAGCTGGTCAGAGACAACTGAAAAGGCATATATGACCAGTTTGATTTATTGGTTTATTGATTTGCATCTTACATAATTTTCTTTAGGATTCCAAATTACACAAAAGGAATGGGATATAGAAATAGAACTAGAATGATAGGGTTGGGCCAGACTTTGGAGGTCTTCTAGTCTAGCACCCTGCTCAAGGCAGGAGTTTTATACTATCTCAGGCAAATGGTTGTCCAAACAATTTTTTAAAACCTCCAGTGATGGAGCATCGACGCGCCCAGGAAGCAAGCTGTTCCATTGATTAATTGTTCTTATATTTCTTTTCATGACACATTACGAACTTTTTTAGGTTGTTAGCATCATTTTTTTATTAATTAGCTCTTTCTTGGCCTAATCTGGTTTTATTATAGAAGGATCCTAATAGATACCGGAGAGCCACGCATCCCTGAATATATAAGCTGTTTGAAACAAACACTTCATGAATTCAACATTTCCATCCAGGAAATTTTAGTAACTCATTGGCACCATGATCATACTGGAGGCATATCAGATATTTGTGAAAAGATTCCAGCTGGTAAGTATTTTCTGTAGTTTTTAAAATTTGTATGCTTTATGTACAAAGTAGGTTAGAGTTATATTGAAAAAATTATATACTAGATAGGCAAAGGATGTTAGAAACATTGAACTTAAATGCTTGTTAACAGACACGGTGGGAAATAATTAAATTTGAGAAACAGCTTCTGACAGAACTTTCCCAAGCACCAATTGTAAGTATACTTAGCCAAAATTAAAGCTAGCAAAAATCAGGTACAGGTAATCCTCAACTTAACAACCATTTGTTTAGCAACCATCCAAAATTATGAGCACTAAAAAAGTGACTTGCAACCGGTCTTCGTACTTATAATTATCACAGCATCACCATGATCACTTGATCAGTATTAAGGTGCTTGGCAACTGGCATGAATTTATGATGGTTGCAACACCCCACAATCATGTAATTGCCACTTGTGACCTCTTCAGCTGACTTCTGACAAAAGTCAATGGGGGAAGCTAGATTCCGTTAACAACTGTATTGATTTCCTTAACAACCATGGCCAAAAAGGACATATAATCAGGTAAAACTCACTTAACAACTACCTTGCTTAGCAACAAAATTGTGATCTCAGTTTTGGTCATAAGTTGAGGATTATATTATAAAAATATAACATTTGCCATTCTGTTAAAGGAATTTATCTTCAATAAGCCTGACTCTTGCAAATAAATTGTTTTTATTTATTCATAAAAACTGAAGATACCATCTTCTTTCTCTTGCAGATTTGGGAAGAGGATGATAATTATACTAACTTATATCTCATTATCCATTTGCCTCAGCCTTGTGGATTTAAGTACATAAAAATTAGTTAAAATAAATATTAGTGAAAACTTTGACTGCTCTTTTTGAATGTAAAAAGTCAAACATTTATTTTAAACAGAAAAGCTTTTATCTCAAAGTATGTATATGTTCTATTTTTGTTTAAAAGTGAGCACCAACCTAAATTAATTATTACTAAGCTGAGTTGAATGATCTCCCAAGCACCAGCAACAAGTGTTCTTCCCAGCTGTATTGACTTTGTTCAAGTTAAGTTACTACAAAATCCTGCAGAAATGGGTCTTTTCAAATCTATTCATGAGGGCAGGAAATGGAGCTTCTTTGCAAAATAAAGAACATTGATTGTTTTAATATTTGCAGGCATGTTTGCTAATATGTATTTTAACAGTTGTTTCATTAGGATTAGTTAAAGTTGTAGAAGCTGCTATTGCAAAACAAACAAACAATTAATATACAAGGGACTTGCTAGATTGTAGTGATAATCTGGAGGCTGTTGTCACAATTATTTGAATAATAGGCAGCATGCACAGCATAGAACGTATGTTCTGCCTTGATTGATCTGCACTTGTATCATAACATAAATCAATTTATAAAAAAAGTTCATTAAAAATAAAACGGGTAACATAAAGCCACTTTTTAAATGTATTACCAGTTTCCAAATTTTGAAATAATTTGAAGCTATTTTATAAGTTTGTTTAAGATCAGAGATGGTCATAAGTTCCATGTGTCTCAGTCCTGAATTCATCTGGACGCACTATTTTTTTTAAAAAAAGGGATGTATGAATTTCCAACTAAATTCTGGTATGATACACATTGTTTAATTTTTAAATTAGGTTATGAATATTGTATAAGTAAGCTTCCACGTAACCCACATCAAGAAGAAGTAATAGAAGGAAAGCAGAAGTATGCGTACTTAAGAGATGGAGATGTTTTAAATACAGAGGGAGCGACTCTCAGGTAAACGTTAACATTTCATATTGATGTTGTTTGCAAGTTTTTCATGTACAAGATTTTTTTCAGTTCATTTGCAGATTTTATCATTTCAGAACTAAAAAAGCTTGTGAGATCTGTTCATATAGATTATATGTTTTGTCTAGCCTTTAATGAATACAGTATGGGGGTGCGATGGCTCAGCTGACAGACTGAGTTAGAGACCTGAGCGCCACACAGAGGGGTGACCTCCCATTATCTGCCCCAGCTCCTGCCCATCTAGCAGTTCAAAAGCATGCAAATTCGAGTAGATAAATAGGTACCACTTAGGTGGGAAGGTAGCAGCATTCAATGAGCCTTGGCCTGTAGTCATGATGGCCACATGACCACATCTTCAGACAATGGTAGCTCCCTTTTAGGAAATGGAGATGAGCACTGCCCCGTAGAGTAGGAACACGGGAAACTTTTACCTTTAATGGACAGGGGAGACCTTTACCTTTAATGCCCAAAGTACACATATTTATCTCTGTACCGTCACACAAATATAAATATTTAGAAAATGTGTTAACTACATTTATTTGTTTCCTTTGGGTCTGTTGTCTTTCTTTCAATTCCGTGGCATCATAAACTTTGGTATAAATATTTGTCATGTACAGTAGATGAGTTTTGCACAACTGAGGGTTAAACATTCACTATAACCATTCCTTTACATATCAGAAGTAATCATACGATACAAATCGTGTGATCATGATTAGACTACCCTCATGTGCTTGAAGATATCTGCCTAGTTCAGACTATTGACAAAGGCTTCTTATAGGCAAATTTGATTATTCTTCCAAGAGTTACTGGTTCCTGATATTTTCTGCACAACATTCTAAAGAAATTTCTTCAAATCCTAAGTAAGTTAGGTTTCCCTATATGTGTATGCTCAGGCCTCAATATCTTTAAGTGATGCTCTTTTCTCAGTGCAATTAGTCCTTGACTTACAACCACAATTGAACCCAAAATTTCTGTTGCCAAGTGAGACAGTTGTTGAATTTTACCCCATTTTATAATATTTTTTGCCACAGTGGTTAAATGAATCACTGCAGTTGTTAAGTTAGTAACAGGGTTGTTAAGTGAATGTGGCTTCCCCATTGACTTTACTTGTTAAAAGGTGGCAAAAAGTGGTCACGTTACCCCAGGACAGTGCAATTGTTATAAATATGAGTCAGTTGCCATGCGTCTGAATTTTGATCACATGATCACGGGGGATGCTGCAATGTTCGGAACTGTGAAAAATGGTCATAAGTCACTTTTTTCAGAGCTATTGTAACTCCAAGCAATCACTAAATGAACTGTTGTAAGTGAAGGACTACCTGTATACATGGTAAGGCTACACCTGTATTTTTGGTGGATGGCAATTTGCATAAAATTATTCCTGGTTGATTCTTTGGAATGACTTTATCTGCCTTGTGAGACCTTTGGTTTCTTTAGGAAATTTATCTTAAGTTATAGGTAGTTAAAACTTGTCCTTATTTTAAAAATACTTTTACGAAGTATTCATAGCTTTGCTTCCACACAGTATAAGGATCATTCATTTAAATTTTGTATCTGAGCTTTTTAAATGTATCTTCATTTGCCATTGTAAGAACTTTCTTCAATTTATTACTTGAATAGTATAATCACATTTCACTTTTCTGTCACTTTGCAGGGTGTTATATACCCCAGGGCATACAGATGACCACATGGCTTTACATTTGCTAGAAGAAAATGCAATATTTTCTGGTGACTGTATTTTAGGAGAAGGAACAGCTGTGTTTGAAGACCTTTATGACTACATGAAGTCATTGGATAAGCTCCTGGGAATCAAAGCTGATTTAATATATCCAGGTAAGTTACACATTTGATATTAATTATATTAACTCTTCGCCATAAGTATATTAAGTGTCTCAAACACTGCATTGCCAACTAGAGATTTTTGATCTCATTGTTCTGTAATCACAGATACTGTGTAAATAGGAATGGGTATCTCTTATTGACTCCTGTATGCAAGATGTTTTGTAATTTTTCTCTTTCTATAAGAGAATATTCTATGCTAAAATGTTCCAGCTTTCAGAATCTTTTACCTTCATCTACATATAGAGCTTCATAGAAAGTGGTCATTCTGGGAGGGGAGTTCAGGTGTTTTTTATTTAAATAAAACACTATTTTAGTTTCCTTGTGGTTTAGACTGTAATATCATTTGCTGTTTCCTTTGTGGTAAATGAAATATATCCTCTATTTACTTAACTTGTGAAAAGTCCTTTAGCTGCTAAAATGTCTGTTCTTTACACTCATTCTCTCTCTCCTTCCCCCCTCCCCAACTCCCCATAAGGAAAACAATATTCAGAATTCAGCACCTCCAAATAACGTATGAAAGAAATCATGGAAATGGAATATGATATAATATAATAATACTAAGCCGGAAGTCTTATCTGATTCAAACCTGTTTTAAAATGATGTTTCAGGATGTAACAAATTGAAGTCATTTTCAATTCATCCATTTACTGTATTTATTTACCCTGTATTTTTCTCTGGTAATGCAAGATGGTCCAGAACAGTGTTTCTCAACCTTGGCCACTTGAAGAGGTATGGACTTCAACTCCCAGAATTCCCCAGCCATAGCTGGCTGGGGAATTCTGGGAGTTGAAGTCTATACCTCTTCAAGTGGCCAAGGTTGAGAAACACTGGTCCAGAAGGAACAGAAGTTCTCCATTCTATCCTCATACCTATTATTATGAAATGTAGATGGAACCAAAGCCATAGGATAACTAAATTGGCTCCATAGTTCATCAGAGACTTGTACTTTTTTCATCCCATCCAGCATTTTTATCACAATTCCCATTTCTTTGTTTACATAATATACAAGCCACCCAATTCCCAACAACTCTGGGTGGCTTACAATTTAAAACTTTTTTTTGAAAAAGATAGAAATCTCTACCAAAGACTACATAGAATCGGGGGGGGGGGGATCCCATTTAACTGAGCTTATTCTTTATCTTCCTTCAAAGTCTGGAAGAAAAGCTGTGATTATAAGATCAAGACATAAATTGAAAAAAGCTTTTAATAGCTTCCTGAATGTTGGGGGCGGGGGAGACATCTGGACCTCTAGGGGTCTCACTCCAGAGGAATGGTGCTGCAATAGATAAGGAGACACATTACAAAATTAGAAGCTGTTGGGCTGTCCTGTGTTAACTCTGCAATATGAACACTTTAAATAATCTCTTCTGAAAAAAAAAATATCATGTACGCACTGTTAATAAGTTCTCCCAGAAATTTTTGTTAAAGAAACATCTGTTGTTGTCTTTATAGGACATGGGCCAGTAGTAAAAGAAGCAAGAGCTAAAATTCAAGAATATATTTTACATAGAAATGAACGTGAGAAACAAATCCTACACATCCTGGATGAGAATGCTGGGAAGTATTTCACAGCAAAGGAACTTGTGAAAGTTGTTTACAAGGTACAGATGGCATCTGGTTTGGGTTAAAAATTGATTTCAGTTATGCAGAAAGTAATGCAATAAAAAAGAAATTAATGATTCATAGCAAAAACAGCATTTATCTAAAGAACACCATGTATGTATATTGCACCAGATTGTATGCTGGAAAGTACATAGTCTTAATAGTTATACAAAAATATTAAGACTATCATTCCTTGTTCAGACTTTAAACATCTCTTCCAAAATAGACACATTTTTTGTAAAATTTGCTAATGATTTTCCCCCCAAAACACCAGTTTCCTTTCTTTTTTAATAACTGCAACTAAAGTAAAACAAAAACACTATGTTCTGAATGCCTCAAATTGCTTCCAGCTTGAAGAAATTATTCCAGACACTTTCAAATTAACCCTAGTTTCACTGTGGTCTAGGAAGAGGTTCACTATGGGGGGAGGGGAACACTGGGGTGGGGCATGGAATGTTCCTAAGTTCTAAGGAATGTTCTGTCCCTGAATCAATGAGTTCTCTATATCCCTATTATTTTTTTTTTTGCAAAGAACCACTCAAAATATAAAGAAATGCCTTCTCTGTAGCAACATTTGCCCTCTGGAATGAGGCTCCCCCCTCACGAGATATGAATTCCCCCCCCCCCACTTTACTGGTGTTCCAAAGAGTCTTGAAGACCTGGCTCTTCACCCAGGCCTTTGAAAAGTGTGATTGAAACCCCCTTTTCTTCTTTTTCTTTGTTTCTTTCTAGGTTTGTGTTATCTCTGTTATGTTTGTTCTTTTTGATTTGATTTGATTTTGATTTTGATTTTTTTTAAAAAATGAAGTTCTATTAATATGTATCCTTTTAATGCTTTATTCCAGGACACACCTGTCCATTTGCATCCAGCTGCAGAAATTAATCTCCAACATCACTTGAAGAAGCTAGAAAAAGAAGGGAAAGCTTGTAAGTAACTTCACTGTTTATATAGAACAGTTACATTGTTGGATACTGAAGGAGTGAAAGAAAGATAAAATGTTCAATTCTGATTGTAAATGTCAGTGTCTTATATATTTTTTTTAATTTTTAGAAACAGAACTTGATATCTGTTTTTTCATGATCGGTGCAGATAGTTCTCACTTAATGACTATCCTGTTTAGCAATGGTTCAAAATTACGACAGTGCTAAAAATTACAACCAGTCCTTATACTTAGGATCATCACAGCTTCCCCGCAATCATGTGATCAGGATTTGGGCTGCCCACAATCAGTGAGCATTTACAAACCTTATAGTATCCCATCATCACATGACCATCATTTATTTTTGTTTATTTAATTTGCACACTTCATAGCAGGCTATCAACAAGCAGAATCAATGGAGGAGCCAGCAAGTCACATTCATATGATGTCTCACTTAACAACTGTGTCACTTAGTAGTGGAATTGGACAGTCCCATTAGTGGTTGTTAAGGACTATCTATACTCTTTATACATTCTTATTTGGTGAAAAAAAAATAACTTGTGTTAAAAATATTACAAAGATGATTAAAAGAATGACTAAAACTATCTGACAAAATGCTTCTCTGTGTATCATCATCAGAAAACATGAAAATTAACTACATCGATTTCATGATTTTCTGAAATGTAGTTAATATGTATATACATTTATGTTTTTTAAGATAAATATTTTACATATTATTGGTTAGGGCAGTGGTGGCGAACCTATGGCATGTGTGCCAGAGGCAGCACTCAGAGCCCTCTCTATGGTCACGCGGGTCGTTGCCCCAGCCCTGCCTCCATGCACAGCTCCCTCCTTACCAGCAGCCCCCCCCAGAGGAGAGTCGCCCCCAAGCGCAGCCCACATGGAGCAGCGCAGCCAAGGACATGGCAGCCGGGCAACAGGGACAAGATTCCACCCTTGCGCCCCATCGCACACAGTTGATTCTGTGGGGCATGGGTGGATGGTGTGGCCACCGTGGCGCTGCTGGGCCACCTGGGCAATCTGTGGTGGGCCATGGAGGTGGTGAGTGGCCTTGTGGGGGACAGGGCAGGGCAGGTGGGATGGGGCAGGAGGTGGGGCCTGGTTTGGGGCACTTAGTCTCTAAAAGGTTCTCCATCACTGGGTTAGGGCATTAAAGAAGTTTTATTGATTAGGTTATTTATATGACCCTTCTTTCTGTTACAGTATATGAAAATTCTCCTAACTTCAAGTGGAAAAGTGTTTTATAAATATGGCATATACACAAGTTTGACAGACGTGCTCTTCTATATTCTGAATTTAAAAGCACTAACATTTTTAATGCCAAAATTGCATATAAATCGCATACATAAATGGACCTGGATTTTATTATTAATCTGATTAAATAATAACTTGTCAGAGAGCGATTGGAAGAATCATTCAGGGAGGAACAAGTGAATTATTTATTTCAAAGCAAAATATTTAAAACTTCCTTTGAACATTTGAATAGTTTTGTAAAGAAATTTGGAATGTTATTATTGATTAAATTTGTATGCTTTCTGATTCAGCAATATGAGGGTTTAAGCTTGTTTCTTTATTTAAACATTGTAATTTCATTGTCACTATTTTATTTGTATAATAAATACAACAACTAACTATTTTTGTTCATATTTAGTTGTTTTCCTTTTTTGACATCATTATAATGTCATTATTATAATCATTATATACTTTTTCAGAATCTTTTTTTAACTTGACTAGAAAATACTATAGAATAGATTTCTACAGATTAATGAATACTAGCAATATAACATTCAACCTCATTTAAATACAGTTGAATGAAAGTATGAAATGTTTACATCTGAACTTTGTTTGCAATTTTCCTGCAAATTACCAAATCTGCATGTAGTACAGTAATGATAAAATTCTGTGCATCTTCAAAAAAAAGCATGAAAAGCATGGTGGCCAGATATAGGCAAATATACAATCATTCAATTCTATAAATTATATAAAGAAAAAAAAATGACATTAAAAGCACAACATAGAATAATTAAAATTTATATTCCTCACTAGAATATTTGACTTATCTCTTCAGAATTGGCCTCCCCTGAAGCATCTCTTTTCCTGTTTCAAATTTCCTGTATTCCTACCTTTTTGGAAACTTTAAGATTTAATCAAAAGGTATGGTGGAGCAGTGTTAAAGCCCTCACTTTTATATTTTCATGACAGTAACCTCTGCTCCCAGTTTTAAAAGGATCAAAACTTTTTTTATATCTAGCAGAGCAAGGGGCTGGATTATCTTCCTATGTTCATATCACAGAAAACATATATTTCTCTTTTGAATGTGAGTTATCTGAGTCTGTTTGGCTTAAAGTCCGATAAACCATGAATGTCTGAGCTTGCAGCCTTTACATTCATAACAATGGCAAAAAAAATAATAATCAGTGTGGGAAAATGTGTTTCTGAAGTGTCAATCTATAATTTTCAGCATTCCTTAGCAATATGAAATGCTGAAAGTTGTAGTTCAGTAATATTTGGTGAATGCTTTAGGAAAAGCCTGTAAGGCATTAGAACAAGCTGTGTAGTCTTTATACTGTATAAGCTATGTGGAGTGACAGAATTAAATGTTTTGAATAATGAAGTTGCATTCTACTGAACATTGTGAAAATTTGACATTGATTACACCAAGCATCTCATCTGAGCCCTAAAGGAGAGCTACATGCTTATACTGCTGACAGCAAATAAGCAATACTTGTGTCAATTAGAAAAAAAATAAAATATATGGTATCTTGTGAAATAAAAATAGATTGTTAGCTGTGAAAGAATAGAATAGAATGGAATGGAAGCTGGAAGGGACCTTGGAGGTCTTCTATCCAGCCCCCTGCTCAAGCAGGAAAACCTATATCATTTCAGACAAGTGACTGTCCAGTATCTTCTTAAAAATCTCCAGTGATGGAGTGCCTATCATTTCTGAAGGTAAGCTATTCCTCTGGTTAATTGTCCTCACTGTTAGGAAGTTTCTCCACAATGCTTCTCTCTTTGATCAGTTTCCAACCATTGTTTCTTGTCCTGCCCTCTGATGCTTTGGAGAATAGTTTGACACCCTCTTCTTTGTGGCAGCCCCTCAAATACTGGAATACTGCTATCATGTCGCCCCTGTTTCTTCTTTTCTTTAGACTAGCCAAACCCAAGTCCTGCAGCCGTTCTTCATAATAATAATAATAATAATAGTAGTAGTAGTAGTAGTAGTAGTAGTAGTAGTAGTAAAGTTAGAAGGGACCTTGGAGGTCATCTAGTCCAACCCCCTGCTCAGGCAGGAAACTCTACACCATTTCGGACAAATGACTGTCCAGTCTCTTCTTAAAAACTTCCAGTGTTGGAGCATTTACTGCTTCTGGAGGCAGGTTGTTCCACTGTTCCAATAGTAAAAGATCTAAGTAAAAAATACATTCTATTTTGAGCTTAGAATTAATAGACATGTTTATAACATTTTGTCAGGATATCCAAAGTTGTTAAATGTTCTTTGATCCCAAAAGCGGCAGAAGTAAGATTGAATGGTAACATGCTAATTGTTAAATTTTCAGAAAAATTGATATAAGGAGACCATTTTAAAACTAGTTTTGAAAAATTCTATTATAATGATAGAAGTTAATATATACAGTATATTAACCACTATGCCATTTTTTGCTTTGGGAGAATGCTAACTGAAAGAAAATAAAGAGATATTAGGCATCGTGGTCATTTTCAAAGAACACATTTTCCGCATTTCTTTAATTAACTATCAGGCACTGCCATAAGATGAATCCCCCTGTGTTAGATGATCCTGACCCGATCTTGTTGCCTCAGTTTTGGATTACCAACACTCATAATCTCATTTGTTCCTTTTAATATGAAATCAAGTTATACTTTTGTATTGATTTGAAAAGTAAATAGTGCTACACAATAAAAATTTGCTTTTGGGCACACTTCTTAATTACTAGTCCCCAACTTATTGCCTTCAGATATGTTCAGTGTCATGGTCAAAATGAAAGCGCAAAATCACTGACAGGTACCCTAGTAAGTGATAATTCCCTTACCTAAACATATGTAAAGAATTTGGCACACTAAATAAAAACTGGTCTTCCACAATATTAAAGGCATAACTGTAAAGAAATCCAAGAACTCATTTTTAAAATTCACATTTTTATATTTGTTATATTTTGAATGGACTGTGTATCCTCTACTACATCCAGATTAAATTTTAAATTTTCTCACTTTTCCTGGGTTTAGGTCCCTCCAATATAGGACCTAATGGAATGGATCATTTAACCAAAATGTTTGCCAGTACAACTTCCAAAATAAATCATGGCTTATATCTAAAAGAAAGAAAGTACAAGCAAGGAAAAGATAAAGAGAAAATGTGAGAGGAAAATATCAATGTTGTCCTCTAAAATCACCTCCTCTAATCAGGGAGTTCTCCAAATATTTACACGTCAGCTCCCAAACAAGTACAGCTACTGTGGACAATTCTGCAGATCAAAGTCCACACATCTGGAGGGCAATGAAAGCTACTATAAAACTTCTTTCAAGTTGGGCTGGGAAACTGAATAAGCTCAAACTGTTTTGCTTCACAAGTTCTAAGTTTAAATTTTTGTACAGTAAGGATGCTAGTCTAGTCTATTCAAGTGTGTTATCAGTTGGATTCCTACACAAATGAGGTTTTATTCTTATAATGAATCTTAACAATATTTACTTTCCGATAGTCATCTCTGCAATGACTTTTTGCATATTTTCTGAAACCCAAGGTATGACAGGCTGGGATTTTTATTTGAAATTCTGCCTATGAGATTCCCTTTCAAACAGAACCAGGTCGACAGAAAGTTAACAAAAGAATTGTAGGCATAAAACCTCCTGCTCAATAAAAGGAAAAGATGAGAAGAACAAATTGTCTTAGGTGAATATTAGAGCAGGATTCCTCTAGATGTGTTCAGACTACAACTCTCAAAAATCACGGTCTAGAATTCCTATTTGGACAGCACCCAACTGGTGAACGACTATGGGGGAAGACTGCAGCTTCAGCAGACAACAGACGATTAAAACTATTCTGGAGGCGCGCGCTTCTCCGCATGATAGCATTTTTGTGATTGGCTAACGTCCCTCCTGAACGTTGAGGTGACGCGCGAGGGGGCTGGGCAAAGGACCTCCCACTTTTACCTTTTACGCCCCAAGCTGTCCCAGCTGCCTCATCCTGTCTTTGCTACCGCCAATCAGCTGCGAGTTCCGGATTTGGTCTGCCTATCCGAAAGGGGGTGCTGTCTTACATTTCCTGCGACTACCCACAGAGAGCGAGGTCCCTCCGTTCGAGTTGAGCGGCAGGAAACGACGAGTGGCGGTTTTGTACGACGCTGGAGCTAGAGAGTCGCCCGAAAAGGCGGAGGCGAAGTTGGGCGGAGCGGCTGCCTGAGCTTTCTTTTCGGGCCGCGCAGCAGACGCACGAGGGGACGGAGGGAGAGGCCATTGAGCAGGGGCCGAGGAGGGTCTCGCCATGGCGATCCGCAAGAAGACTAACAAGAACCCTCCCGTGCTCAGCCATGAGTTCGTCGTGCAGAACCACGCGGACATCGTCTCCTGCATGGCCATGGTCTTCCTGCTGGGGCTCATGTTCGAGGTGAGAGGAGGGAGAAGGCAAAGCGCTGCAAGACCTCAGTGCGGTTGCCGGATACCCTATAGGAAGGGCCGGGCGGAGATTAGCGGGGAAGATGTTTCGGAGTGATACGGATGAGGAGACCAAATGGGAATGGTCAACACCAGGAAAGCCAGAACTGATCTCTGGTAGCAGTCTTTAATTCCTTGGCTGCCGCTTCTCCTAACTGCCGTTGCCGGGGTGGGGTAAACGCAATGCCTGAAGCGGTATACGTGTTAAAGATACCCAAGTGTGTGATCATATGGATCCCCGTACCACAAATTGCTTGGCTGATTCGGATGAGGAAAGCGATCGTCTCTTGCTCGTAAATCTTTGTCGGAACTCTCTAGTAGCTAGTTTAGAGGAAGAGGAAAAAAATAAGCAAATGGAGATTGTGACTCCATGTGGAAGGGCAGCTTCGTTTGTCTGTCTGTCCTCTGGGTCATATCATGGTCGTTCCTTGTATTGCCTGTTTTTGTCTGAAGGCTCAGCAATGATTGTAGCGAGGTGATGGGAAGAACGGCAACTCAAAGGTGCAACCACCTGCCGGCGGGAGCGGTGGTCCCTTCTCGATGGATAGGCTGGTCGTGGCCTTGTCCCTGTTGGTTCATCAAACCGTTTCTGAGAGAGTCGTCTAGGAGGGTTTCCCACCCATTGCAGCTCTGTCGCTCGTCTCAGTGGAGCTTCTTCGGGCAGCTGCAGTATCCTGGAGCAACCCGGGCTTAAATACAATGCTGAGAGCCTGTTTTACTCATTTGTATTTTACGCCCCTTTCCTGGGAAATACAATTTATTGAACGGCTTTCGAAGCAAGCGTGCAGCAGCGACTTGCGATGCTTAGCTTCCCGAAATTGGCAGGGAAGAAGAGGAAAAGGGAAAGAGAGTTGTATGTTTTGCAGAAGGCGCTGCGCCG